GGCCGCTGCGTGCCCGCCCTCCCTCTCCAGGGGCCCCCGCCCTGGCTGCCCGGCGCCCTCCGCTTCCCGCCTCCTTTCGGGCACCCACCGGTCCAGTCCACTGCCCAGCCTGCCTCCTGATCCCAGTGGGTCCTACCCATTAGCTCCGTTCCCAGCCCCGCATTCGGCTCCACCCGGTCACCCCGGAATCCCCCGCAGTTCACACACACTGAACGCCCCTCGCAGGCTGCCCACTAGCCAGCACGGACCCACCCTCTGTAATGCCAGGCTTCTTCCCCCGCAGCGCATCTCCCGTCTCATGCTCTGACCACCTAGCGCCACAGCCTCCCAAAGCGTCCCCATTGCTCCTCCTTCAGAACACAGCAGCAGCTCCTTAATTTTCTGGCATCGTAAACGCCTTTGAAATGTGAATGGTCGTCCTCCGCCCCAGAAAATGCACAGTGCGGGACCAGAACAACTGTGTGTGTGTGGGGGGGGGGGGCAGTGAGGGCAGATCCAGTCCAGTGGGCCCATTTGGTTTTTCACTGAGAACACACAAATATCCTGTGTTTTCCCATATATATCACCCTGTCTCCTTTTCTCCCTTTCCCTTCTTCCCAGACTTCATCACCAGCCCCAAGTGTTTCTAGTTCTTCACCCTCCTGCTTCTAGGACCAGGTATCCCTTAAAAAAGCCAGAGGGGCCGAACCTCAGTTCCCGCAATGGGCCAAGTGGAATTTGAGCTGGCCTGCGCCACTCTGAAGCAGTTGAAGGGCCCTGTGAGTGACCAGGAGAAGCTGGTGGTGTACAGCTTCTACAAACAGGCCACCAAGGGCGACTGCGACATCCCTGCCCCGCCTGACACAGACGTGAAAGCCAAGGCCAAGTGGGAGGCGTGGAATGAGAAAAAAGGGATGACCAAGTTGGACGCCATGAGGATCTACGTGACTAAAGTAGAAGAACTGAAGAAAAAGGAAAATGGTCAAGGAGGACAAAGAGTCAAACAATGAAGTAGCAGGGCTCCTCTGGTAGGGAAATGGGCTTCTTAAAAGACCTTGAAGACTGAAATGTCCCGAAACCGTGGCTACCGTAGCTGAGACATCAATAAATCTTTTAAAAACTGCACGAAAGTGCACGTCTGCTGTTCAAACAGCAATGAACTCAAAGTGACTGTGAGAGTACCGGGGAGCTGACCGAAACGTATTACGAGCATCTCTCCTCTAGAGAAAGTTCCATCAAATCTGGCCTTGGGTAGGACTCTAAGTTTTCCCAGCCTTCCTATGTTCAGATCATATGTAGATATTTGACAGCAGTAGAGGGGTGGCAGAGAATCAGGCTAGGAAAATGCCCAAGGTTTGAAGTCCGTGACAGAGGCTCTGCTTCTGGGGGAGGAGGGAAGGAGAGGAGGCCCAGGCGCCTTATCTCGTCAGGGGCTGTCCATTCACTATTAACCCAGCATTATGGAGGGGAAGAGGTGTTGTCTTCCAAAAAGCTGGTCAAGTCCTACTACCAAAAGCCCCTACTGGAACACAGGCCTGATGAAGTTCATGTGTTGAGAAAAGACAGACTTGTAGCAAGTAACTGTTGCATCACAACACAGCAGTTGAGAAACTGGAGCAGATGGATTCAAAATCCCACCTCTGAAACACTCATCAAGGCCTAGTGACCAAAATTTTCTTGGGACTACTGTGTAGCTAATCCTGGTTTCTACTTGGGGATGTTTGTGGGACAATATGTACATGCATGTATATGGGATTTGTTTCAGGAGCAAAACAAATCCTCTGACCCATGCAAGAGCCAGAGTGCCTGAGCTCAGCTTCCGCTCCTTAGTATTGATATCATGGCGGCATCAATGCACAACATTGCACTGGGATATGGAGGTTAAACGATATTAGAGACATTTTGAAGCAAAAGGTCTGTTGTGGTATGGGATTCCCCAATGTTTTTCCTTAATTAAAAAAAATGTTTTGGGGGCTAGGGTTATCCATTGGGGACTAGCTTTAGCTCTTCAGGCCTCGCTCCATTCCTTGGGGCTAAGCTAGGCTCTTAGGGGCTAGACTCTGACCTTCTGGACTGGGCTCCATCCTTTGGCACTAGGCTAGGCCATTTGGAACTAGGTTGGGCTCCTTCTGGCTAGGCTTGGCTCTTTGGGGTTAGCTCAGCTTTTGCAGGCTACACTCAGCGCTTCAGGAGTAGGCTGGGCTCTTTGGAGCTAGGCTTGGCTTTTCCAGACGAGGCTAGACTCTTTGGGGCCAGGCTTGGCTCTTAGGAACTAGGGTCAACCCTTTAGGACTAGCTTCAGCGCTTAGGGTGAGGCTCGGCCCTTTGGAGCTATGTTTGGCTCTTAGAAACTAGGGTCATAAAGAAAAACACACACTATTTTCATACTTCATGACATTAGGTTAGCTCCAGTTCATGAAGGGCTATTAAACAACAGAAGCAACAACCATAAAGGCCTCAGAGGAAACCAAACCTCACCAGGTATCTTTGAGACCTTCTGTTCACATATTTGCAGGAAGTTGCTATAGACTAAGTACATTACTTAAGAATGATGTATACCCATGCCCAGCCGGTGTGGCTTAGTGGTTGAGCATTGTCCTGTGAACCAGGAGGTCACGGTTCGATTCCCGGTCAGGGCATATGCCCGGGTTGTGGGCTCGATCCCCAGTGTGGGGCCTGCAGGAGGCAGCCAATCGATAATCCTCTCTAATCACTGATGTTTCTCTCTCTCCCTCTCCTTTCCTCTCTGAAATCAATAATAAAGAGATAATATGCAAATTGACCCTCATAAGATGGCTGCCTACGACCAGGTCAGCAGGGGGGTTAGTGAGGGACGACCAAACGACTGAACAGAAGGCTGCGTGGGGCGACCAGGCTGGCAGGGGGAGGAGGGGCAGTTGGAGGCAACCAGGCCAGCAGTGGGGGGGGCAGTAAGGGGTGACCAGCAGGCAGGCAGGTGAGCAATTAGGAGCCAGTGGTCCAGGATTGTGAGAGGGATGTCCCAGATTAGAGAGGGTGCAGGCTGGGCTGAGGGGACCCCCCCCTCGTGCACAAATTTTGTGCACTGGGCCTCCACACTAACAAAAGAGAAACATGTAAATTGGTGTCACTCTGCTATGCCCACCAGCCAATAAGGATGAGTATGCAAATTCAACCAACAAAGATGGCAGTTAATTTGCATATGCAGGCACGGAGCGAAGACTGACAACGACTAAAGACTGAAGACGACTGAAAACTAAAGAGGCTTGGCTTCTCCGCTGTGGCTGGAGTGAAGGCCTGGGTCCCGGGTGCCGGAGGAAAACCGGTGCCGGCAGCCAGGGGAAGGAAGGCCTATTACTTAAGAATGAAGTATACCCATGCCCAGCCGGTGTGGCTTAGTGGTTGAGCATTATCCTGTGAATCATGAATCTCTTCATGCAATGGGCCTCTAGTATATATATAATTGATTTAAAAATTTTTTCCTCTTACTAGTAAGTGTACAACTATGCATGATGTAAGTTAATGCTGTTTATCTACTTGGGATATTTTAGCTTTATGATATCAGCCCTGATATCATAAAAGAGGGATCTAGTATTGGTTAGTCATTCAATACTTACATAAACCACTTATTTTACCATAAGAAACTTAGAAGTAGCCTAATACACTGGGGAAAGTAGAGTTTCATAAGAACAGTATTACTAGAGATACACATCAAGATTTACTTAAAAAATTAATTATCTAATAGAAAAATCTGAGAAGTAACAAATCATAGTCTAAAAAACACAGAGGCTTATTTGATTATTCAAAATTCATACAATAATTTCCCCATGTATAAGCAAAAACAGTGAACCAATTGTCTAGAGGGGGAACATATCTAACTTGGTTTGCTTTGAAACTCACGATTGCTTCCATAAAACAGAGAATTTGAGTGCAAAGTTCTGTGAAGCCAGAAAAGGATTTTTTTCTCTCGGTGAAGGTAAGATCACCCTATAAGAAGAACTGAAATTCACCCTGAAATTTCCATACCCAACCCTGCCAGCAAGGGAGAACAGCAGAGGCTATGATTTACAAGTAATCCTATATAATAAAAGCCTAATATGCAAATTGTACCGAGTGGTTGTTCGATTGGGAGAGACCGGGAGTTCGATTGCTCGCTATGATGTGCACTGACCACCAGGGGGCGGCGTGGAACACAGTGGGCATCGGTGACATGGCGCTGGCACTGGGAGGCAGTGAAGGCGCTGCCAGCCTGATGAGCCCTGACGGGAGCAGGACCGTGGCAACATGATGGAGCAGGTGAATGGGAAGCACCACTGGATAGGGCAATCGGCAGGGGTCCGATTGCCCCGCCGATTGCTCTGCAGATGGCAACCAGCGGCGGTGGCAGGGGGCGGGGCCGCTGCCCAGCTCCCAAGTGCTGAAGGAGCTGGGCAGCAGGCCCTGCCCCAATTGATCACCCCACAGGTGGGATGGTGGAGCAGGTGAGGGGGCAGCACCAGGCCAAGGATGCCAGGTGGGGATGCAGGGCTATAAGGCTGGGGGTGCGAGCTGGGGCCCAATCTCCACAGGCCACCCTGAGGGACACCACCTGTGCATGAATTCGTGTACTGTGCCTCTAGTTGAATATATATTATTCTGGAACTGGTATCCTCTGAGTCAATCCTTTCCAATATTATCAATTTCTTTCCTGAAATTTGAACATGCCCACCACTTTATTTTTTAAAATATATTTTTGATTTCAGAGAGGAAGGGAGAGGGAGAGAGAGATAGAACATCAATGATTACAGAGAATCGTTGATCAGCTGCCTCCTGCACATCCCCTACTGGGGATTGAGCCAACAACCTGGGCAGGTGCCCTGACTGGGAATTGAACCTTGCCTCCTGGTTCATAGGTTGACGGTTAACCACTGAGTTACTCCAACTGGGCATGCCCACCACTTTATTGATTTCAGAGAGGAAGAAGGAGGAAGAGAGAGAAAGAGAGAGAGAAAGAGAGAGAGAGAGAGAGAGAGAGGCATCAATGTTGAGAGAGAATCACTAATTGGCTGCCTCCTGCATGCCCCCCACTGGGGATCCAGCCTGCAACCTGGACATATGCCCTTGACCGGAATCGAACCCGGGACCCTTCAGTCCGCAGGCCGATGCTCTATCCACTGAGCCAAACCGGCTTGGGCTGCTCACCACTTTATTTATTTTTATTGTATTTATTTTTTAAATATTTTTATTTCTTTCAGAGAGGAAGGGAGAGTGAGAGAGAGATAGAAACAACGATGAGAGAGAATCATTGATTGGCTGCCTCCACTGGGGATGGAGCCCGCAACCAAGGCATGTACTCTTGACCAGAATTGAACCCAAGATCCCTCAGTCCGCAGGCCGATGCTCTATCCAGTGAGTCAAACCAGCTAAAGCTGCTCACCACTTTAAATAATGAATCTTACAGGTTGGTATAATAGCTTGATTTTAGAAGTATATCTTCAAAAAGCATTTAATAATAAATGTACCCAATATAATTAATGTTTCCAGTAATTAAAATGTGTTTGTTCTACAGAACCAAACAGAAAATTACAAGAAAACATTAAAAAAAATTTTTTTCAGGCTAAAGAAATCATCTAATCCATTTTAAAGAAATTTAATGTGTTCTCTTTTTGTAAAGATTTTTAAAAATTATATAAGGAAACTAGCACAGAGCCAGGTGTGTAGCTACACAACACATTAGATCAGCGGTTCTCAACCTGTGGGTTGCAACCCTGTTGGGGGTCGAACGACCCTTTCACAGGGGTCGCCTAAGACCATCGGAAAATACATATATAATTACATATTGTTTTTGTGTTAATCACTCTGCTTTCATTATGTTCAATTTGTAACAATGAAATTGGGGGTCACCACAACATGAGGAACTGTATTAAAGGGTCGCGACATTAGGAAGGTTGAGAACCACTGCATTAGATCCCTCTGTTTTCTCTGGCTACTCAAAATTTTAAAGCAAGGAATGTGGGGGTGTTAATTAAATCTTTTGGTTTAAGGAACAAAATTTATTTTGCCAATAAGTGTTTTCATAAAATCCACATGCTTATTAAAATTCCTTCCATCCATCCCCAACCAAGGGTAATGTCCCATATAGCTGCCCCAGACTGACAATAAAAGGA